ATAGTTTCAGATAATACCTTCATACTGCTGTTTTCAGCAGCAGCTTTAAAAAGAAATAAGCTCCATGAAAAGCATTCAACACTGCATATCATTATTTAACTTTCCTGCCAGTCCAATCAAAGAATACACCTGAAGTGGTAACACTGGGCAGATCAATAGGACTACACACAAGCTTTAGTCCACTTACAAGCTTAACTTTGTGTCCGGGTCTGCAAATAAACCTCAACAATCCTCTGCTTTAAAAATCCACACTAAATGGATCCCACCATTTAATTTTCCCCTACCAGTGAACACAATACATATTATTGCATGTCCCACAATATAGCAATAGCTGGAAATAAATGAGGGATTTATAGTATAAGGGCAGCCTAAGCCAAGAAGTGCCTAATTCTATGCCAGTATCTTTCACTTCTCCAGACAGATTACAAGTGGAACCACTTCAGTACATAGCGATGCAGATAAAAAGCCCTGGGTTCAAGGCCTTGGTCAAGCTGCAGAAAATAGGTGATTCAGGGCCCCACTAGAACTGAACATATGACCAAAAGCAGTTTATGCTCTCAGATCAAATTAGCAAAAATGAAGGAATATGGCATCTGTACTATTCACAACAATTAAGCTGCTGTGACTTGAGATACAGACATACACCACGCTATAGACAGTGGGCTGTAATGTCCTGAAATAACAAAATGAAGAATGCCCTGTAAAATTTGGCCCATAAGACAATTCTGAACCAGTTTTTATTCATGCTATACACCTGCAGTATTACTGCTACAAATGGAATTAGGTAGACTATGGCATAGCATTAATTGCCTTCCTAATGCCACAGCTTTAATACTGAACATCTGCCCTTCTCTGACTTGACTGAAAACTTTTTTTAAAGCTGTTGGTCAGTCTAATGAAAATGATCTGAGGTAAGATGAAAGATGAGATAACGTTTTATGGAGTTGTGGTCTATGACGTAGTGCAGATATACTCTGGAACTCCTTTATCCCAGTATCCTGAAGAACTCCAGAATGTTCACATAATCATAATCAAGTTAACTTTTAGATAACTAAAAACGATATTTACAGTCCTATGAAGCTGCAAAGAATTCACTTGGATAACCAAGAATTAAAAAATAACAAACCCTGACTAACATAGGGTTTGTTTGTCATAAACCCTACATAGCTTTTAATATAAATGCATACATAACTTGATGGTCCTGTGTACTTCTTTAAAGGACCAACAAATTCCCATTTGTTGGGAATTTCCCAGTCACAGGAAAAAGAAACATTACATAGCTTCGCCTTGAAGCCAGGGAAAGTTGAGTTTAATTTAAATTGCAAAAACTTATCAATGCTAAAGAGCAGAAAACTTTGTATCACAATATTATTTCTTTCCAAAATCAACTGCAATATACATGCAGGAGCCTAGTTACATCTACACCAAAGTCCTACTGAATTGCATAAAAATATCCAGACCTGTGTCTTGAAGTTGTAATTAAGATATAGTAATTTAAGATTATCACAAGAGCAAAGGGCAGTAGCAGCACTTCAGAAGTCTACTCTCACCACTTAATGTCACTCACTCCTGGGGTTAAAGGAGCTTCTTTTAGTATAAGTACCTTTAAGAAAAAGAATCATAAACAAAATTTACACTATTATACTGTCAGACTATAATCTATTTAAATTTTATTAGAGCATCTCCAGTAACATTTAGAGACCGAACCACTATTGTGCCCGATGAATAACTGGATATACTTGGTAAATTATATTATTCACAGAATACCTGTACATGTACAGCACATTAGCTGAAATCCTTTACAGGGTATGCAAGCACAGGTTTACATCCAAGTTAAACAGTGCAACATGATAGCTCATGTATTTGACAGAAGAATATTCAGAGGCTGAAATCCACCTCCTATTGCCATTGATTATAATGGATCTAGATTATAAGATCAGCACTTAGCTGTGTTCCATTTTTAACTGTGTTAAGAAGTTGTAAGTTTGCTGTTATTTTGTCCACTGCTTCTTACAGTAAAAGCAGAACCATGTTAGATGCAACCATACTTGTCTTACTACCCACTGCCATTATATTTCTACATTACGTAAATCCAATTAAAATGAGAGATTTTCACCTATAAGCTGGGCTGCATTTGCCTTCTGAAAGGACTGTATAAATTAGATCCTAGAAGAGATTGAATCTAATTTTCCTACTAGTAGAGAAATGAAAAATTGTTGCACTTATTAGTAGAAATGCTGGGGGAGGGGAATTAGGAATTATTTATAGCTTTAAAAAGAAAGTTACATATTGCCACAAATGACTTAATGACTTAGCATGTGCTTAATGAGCATGTACTTAATTAGACAATAAAGGTACCAATAATATTTTTTAAAATCTAACAATGAGTGCAATAAGTTGTTTGGATGATACTTAAACTTAAGCTTTCAAAAGGTATAGTTGTTTCTTTTGTAATACAAAATAAAAATCTATCTAAATGGCATTGGCTTTTTATTTACTGATAGTTATTTGGCTCCTATATTTCAGACTGCCATATTCTATCATGCAGAAGTTGCCTTACTTTGTATTTTTAAATGATCTTATTAAAATAATATTAATAGTAAAAAAACTAGCTTGCAAGTAATTGCATCTGACCATAAGTACACTAACCTTAAAATATTTTAAACAAAACAGCCTAACCAAAACTATAATACAATCCTTTACATGTCTACTCAAGAGTAAGTCCCATTGCATTCAATAGCTTTACTGCCTGTAAATGAGTATTGATTGCAGCCTAAGGCTTCAATTCTAAACATATTCAATCACAAGTAATACTACACTGAACTTAGTGAAATTTATTTCTAAGTAAACATGTATAAGATTGTGCTATCATTATGTCTATTCATACTTTTTAAGGGAATCAAAAACAATAAATACTATTAAACATGCTTCATGTTCTTTAAAAAGAAAATATAATTTGAACTTGGAGGAGGGGTTAGGACTAAAATCACTCTGAACTTTTAAGGATCATGATGACCAGTATCCTCTATACTTGGGAGACAAATTCTGTAACTCCAAGAAAGGAGCAGAATAAAACTACATCACAATGAAACTCTTCCAGCCCACATGAGAATAACACTTCCAGAAACCCAAAATGTCTTTGTTCGCTGTCAGCTCAAGAGAATCTGTAACTGAAGGGCTGAACTTTATTATCTTTTCTTCCCTCTTTTTACATATGCTTGGGAACTCAAGCGTTCCTCTCTGCACTGCAAGGTGTTATAGATAAAAAAGGAAGTTGTACATCAATGCAGCATGAATGCACAATGCTGTCAAATCAGGGGATGTCTTTCCTTACACTGACTACTATCTCAGACAATGATCAGGTTAAAAACATGGATGGAAACAGTACGGATAGGTTTTCCTCCCAAGTTATCCTTAGGTTTCATAACAAAGATCAGTATTTGTAATGGTCCATTTCTCCATAAGAGAACATAGAAGTCTTGCTGCCTGATCGAATAGTCCAGATCTTTCAGTGAAGCAGCTCTTAACAACCGCCCAGCAGCAGCTTTGTTTGATCTCTACTGCCTTCCTTAATCTGGGTTGTCAAGGTTCACTTGTTGGAGGCTGTTTACTTTTTTTTTTAAGTGATTTTTCTCCCCCCCACACCCCTTATACAATGACTAATCCAAAGACTGAAGGAAAAGAATGCTGCCAATGCAAGATGTGAAAGATGAAATACCTTTTTGCGATGAGATTTTAGCAGACACATTTTGAACAACAGTTAGTAGAAAGTTTCTTTCCTTCATTCTATATATTGCTAAGAAGGTTGAAAAATATAAGAGAGGTTGAATTCTACTTTATTTTAAAGCAGTCCAAATTTCTTTACTGTCCTCTTTTTTAAAGTTCAAGAGGTACAACCCTTCCTTAATATTCCTTTTTTCTCTACAGAACTAATTGTTTATTTGGAAAAAGGAAAAAAAAATTGTCCTTTTTAGGCTTGGAAGAGACCTGCAAGCTTTGAATCATAAAATACCAAAGTAGTTTAAAATGTTTCCTTTTTTTCCTTTTGCATCTTACAATAAAATAAAATGTATCTCCTATACAAATAACATGAACATCATCCCTTACAGTCATTTCTATACAGAAATATACTCAGGTCTGCTGATGCTTTGTAAATTCAGATAAAGAAAATGTGAAATTATTGTCACAGAGTAAACTGCAAATAAATGTATGCAGTTTTGATTTTTAATGTTATCACTCAGCACCCAAAGAGTCAGAAAAATGTAACAGACATAACATATGCTATGCAAATATTGTTCAGATTACTCATTCCCAAAACAGTAACCAGAAATGAAACCCTTAACTTCTAAGACCACAAGTCAAGCTCTAATTTTCCAAGGATTTGGTATTCAGAAGCAACCATAAACAGTTAAACGTTGGGCTTATTAGTCTAAACAGCCAGAAATATTTTCTTTCATTTTAAAAACAGATCCAAAGAATTTCTAAGGGTGATTTTTGGGATGAAATTGCAACTCTCCCACCCAGACTGAAATCATCACAAGCTGGGCCACTGTCTTCCAAAGTTATGACTGCAATGTTGGTTTTTGTACCCTCTTGGAGCAAATGGGGAAAAATTAAACCATGTTATATGAAGACAATGCAAAATCAATACACTTAGTAGTCAACCCAGCAAAGATATTTGAACACAACGACTTGGAATTAATAATTATCAAGTGGGGTGGGAGAAGATGAAGGGAGAAATGTCATTGTATTTTATGACAGCACTTTATTCTTTGATAAACTCCTGAACTCTGCTTTTCTTAGCAAAAAGAAACTATGTTTTTATGACTCCTGCTCCCCCTCCTCACTTTCACTCCCTTGGAGGAAAAAATTCTGCCTGCAGATTTGGCAAACAAGAGGTTTGCACCTCTTTTACCAATGACATTCAGTGGCTTTTGCATTCTGGGGATTTTGCTTGAGTAGGAATTTCGTAAAGCCTCCACTGGTTCTCCTATACTTACCGATAGAAATAGCTCTGCAACTGTGTGATCGTCACCCTCAGCATGTAGCTCCTAAGCAAAAGCCTGCTGTTGCTCCTGTGATCTCCAGAGGCAAAACTTTGGACTCTATAGTTGAGAAGAAACCAAGGGTACTTTCAACAAGTCTCCACAAAACAGGTTTTGGTTAAAAGGTGGGGGAGGCTAAGAACTGGAAGAGGGAGGGAAAAATGTGCGGTTGTGTCTAAGAGAGAGATGCAGAGGGAGGGGAGGGGGTGAAAACCTTGGAAAGCACTTCCAAGAAAGGAGATCAGGAAACCAGATCTAGTAACTAGATCTAAGATCGTTATAGACGCGCGCGCACACACACACTGAACCCTCCTCCCAGCTGGGATCTGGTCTTTTTCTGGAGATAATGCACCAGGGGCAAATTATGGCAAGCTGCTTGGGTGTGTGAAGTTGCACATGGGTATTTAGCGATACTCCAGGTCAGAAGGCGGCAGCGCGCGGGGCGCGCGAGCAGAGGAAACGGCCGCTGGCTGGAGGCTGAGGAAGAAAGATGCGCTTCCACCTTTCAGCGCAGGAAAAGGAAAGAAACGGGGCAGGGGATTATTTCCGCCGCCGCCGCCAAGTCACTTCAGGGGTGCCCGCACAGATGGGGATCACCGGGTAGCTTGGGAAGGGAGATCCAAAAGGAAAAGGAGCCCCGGGTACGGCGGCGCTAGGAGATCAGGCGCAGCTGAAGTTGCAGCGCGCGCTCCAACTTTCACAAACTTGTCCCGGCTGCGAAGGCGCTCGCCCTGCTGTTGCAGCCAGCAGAGGCAGGGAAAAACCCGACAGGGCGCGGCGGCAGCACAGCAGCACCAACCGCGGTGTGGAGTCAGACCGGGAAAGTTTAGAGCAGGCACCGGGCAAAGGATGGTGGTGTGCGATTGTGTTTGTGTGAGACTCTGATTGACACCGGGGCGGGGTGAGGGGGAAGAGAGGCAAGGTAAGTGGTACCGCTTGTATATGGGGTTGCGTCTATAGCTGCAGACGGGTCTCGCCGAGCGCCTGGGAAATCACCCGTCTGGGGCTCCCTCCAGCGTGTCTTTGTGGAGTGTGCCGCGATCGCCACTTGAGTGCGGGACAAGAGGAAAGACGCACGACTTCGCGCATCGAGTTGTTCTCTTTACGGCTGGCACCATGGACAAGGGGTTCGGGCAGGGAAGTGACCGCTTGCGGCCTCTTGCATATTGTGCGCTTGTGTGTCGCTGTGACTTCTTTTCTGTGAACTTGAGCTTCTCTCCACGTGTGTTTCCTACCCTGCGGGCCTCGACCTGATCTGCGCGTGTGGAATCATCAAGCACTAAGGTGCGGGGTTGCGTAGTCTGCCAGGGCAATTGTGAGTAACTGTCGTGTTTGCCACCTGTATGTATGAGTGTGTTTGTTCCTCTTCTGAATGTGCCTTTGTGCGACTGAGGAAATGTGGTATTATCTTTGGCGAGAGACAAGGGGGCAATGCCAGTAGGTCAGTCTGAGTCTTTGTATATCGTCGCACAGTTTAGTGTGCATCACTAGGAACGGAGAGCGCAAACTGGCAACGCTTCCTCTCTGACTAGCCCATTCATACATACAGAAATCCACAGGGTGCGGTTATAAAGGAAGAAGTTCGGCGGGAGAACGCATCCAAAGAAAAGCATGAAATGGGGGGGGGGGAGCAGAGAGAGAGAGAGTGTGTGCGAAAACGGCGAGTTCAAGTTCAGTGAACATGTGAAGGTGTGAGTTGCAAAGGCCTATTCATTGATGCTCATTGTACGAAATCAGAAGGCGAAGCACATGGGGCAAAAGTTTGTTCAAGTAAACGAAAAGTTCTCCCCCCGCCACCTCTTTCTCACCACAAAGTACCCCAAGTTACCAGGGGAAGTGCACACACCCCAACAGCAAATCCTGCCCGTCTCCAAACACTTCCTCCTCCCTTTTCCCGCCCGAGGGACTTTTTGCACGCGCACGCGCGCGCGCGCTCTTACACACACACACACACACACACACGAACAACACACAAATACACAGACACACATACAAACGGGGCAGAGTAGAGGCTGCTTCCAACTTGCTGCGGTCATGTGTGCAACGTCCAGCTCGTGGAAAGGGGAAGGGTGGAAGGGAGCGGGGGATGGAAGAATGAGGTGCCAATGTGGGACATAAAGGAAAAAGAAGAGCCTCAGAGGTGAAGGAACCGTGGCTTCTTCCAGTGCGCCGGAGATGTTTTATGCAAATAGCCAGGACGCATATGGGGGGGTGAAGGAGGAAGAAGAGGGCGGGGGGGATGCCGAGGCACGTGGAGGGGGGGTTAGAGCCGGGGAGAGGGTGTTAAAGAGGAAACGTGAGGGGGGTGGGGAGGTTCGAAACAAATAGACTTAAAAGTGGATGAGAAAATGCGAAATGGCAAACTCACCCGCTGGAAACGGCCTGGTGGTGCCAGCTAAGGGGCTCCCCCCACTGCGGGCGGGCGGGCGGGTGAGTGAGTGAGTCTGTCTGTCTGTCTGTCCCTCCCTTTCCTCACTTCACTTCACTCCCTCCCTCCCTCTCTCTCTCTTTCCCTTTCTAGCCAGCCAGCCAGCCCCATGCAGCAGGCACAGCGTGCAACACAGCCACACAATAAATAACAATAGAGCCCTCCGCTCGAGTCGGGAACTAGCTTTCCAAATGGGGGAGAGCAGAGCAGCAGCAGCAGCAGCAGCAATCAGGCAAAGCAAAGCAACCCAGTAGCAGTAAGCAAGGGAGGGAAAGAGTCTTCTTCCCCCACTCGTGCCCCCTAATGGCCCCCACGCGTCTTGGAAGCTGGTTGCGGCTCTGCTCGGTGCACCTGGAGTGTTACAACCACTTTGGAGTTGTTGTTGTTTTTAAAAAATAGCTTTTAGAAAAGGAGGGCGAGGAAAAATAACACCCCGCGGAGGGAGATTTTGTTATTTTTTGCTGTTATGAGTCCCTGACGTCACATCCACCTGCTGGGTAAACAAGGCTCAGTGCAAAAGGGGGGGGGAGATACATCGCAGTTGCGAAAAAAAGGGAGGGGAGGGAAAAGAAATGGGGGAGAGATGGGGAGAAGGAGGCAATAGAGACAGACGGGAGTGCAGCAAATGGGAATGGTGGAAATATACAGGAGGGGAGGAGAGGAGGTTGGGAAAGAGAGCAGGGAAACCCAAAAAACTAGAGGGAGAAGAGGAAGCAAGGCAGCCCGGCGAAGAGCAAAGAGAGGGGGTGGGGGGAAAGGTAAGGAAAGATTTGCGGCGATTTCAGTTAGGGGGCTTCGGCTTTGTTGGATTGTTTTTGGTTTCTTGGAAGGAAACCTCTACACACTCTACCGAAACAAAAAAAAAAAAAAAAGCAACCCAAAAGACCATACAGAGAAGAGAGTGGGAGGGAAGCAATTTAAAAGTGCAAGTGTTTTGCAAGCCAAGTACCGGCTTCCTCTTTTGCTTTCTCTCTTTCTCTTCCTTCTTTTTCCCCCCTCACCCTCTGCACTTTACCCAATGAAAGGAGGCGAGTTCGAGAGGTGAAAGTTCAACAGAAGGACAATCCCATGTGTGCAAGGAAAGAGATGTGTCCACCATCTAAGGCGCCTTCTCCCGCTTTCTTATTTTTGTTGTCTAGATGCAAGAGATCGGCACTGACCCCCGCCCCCCCCGCCCCATTACTCTCTTTAAGAAGTCTCTGAAGAAAGAGACAGACAGACAGACAGACAGACAGACAGACAGACAGACAGACAGAGAAAGGCAGGCAGGCAGGCGGTGGGGACACTTCCCCAGAGTTGGTTCGAGAGAGCGCATGGGACAAAACAGATTTGAGAGAGTGGTTGTTTATTTGTCTTCTCCGTTCCTCTTAGGAACACGCCCAGGGGCCAGCATGCCAATGGGTTGTTTAACACAAATTACCTGCTACTGCATGCATTGAGAAATAAAGGCTACTGGGTGGGTTAACTCTCCAGAAAAGTTACTTGTTTGTGCGTTCCATTCTTTGAATGGAAATTACTTTCCACGGAGCTGATGAAAGGAAAGAACAGGTTGTTATTAGTTTAGAAGCACTAGTGTCAACCACACACACCAACACTATCCACAACCTTGCAGAATTTTATTCATTCTCTCTAAAGATTTGTGCCACAGAGGCTGTTGCCATTTGTGGTTATCTTGCAAAATATTGCTAAACTTTTCTTCTATAGTGGACAAGGAAGGAGAGCATTTTGCAACCCCTCAAATCAGCAATGCCTTTTCAGGCTTAATTTTGTTGTTAAGCATTAATGCATTCAGTAAGGTCCTAACTTGCTTAATACACACAAGTTATAAAAGCATCAAGCATATGTTCTTCTTTAATACAATTCTAGATTATATATTGTCTCTCAAAAAACATTTGAACAAAGTTTCTAATATATTGGCATCTTCCCATACATTTATAGAGAAGTAAATCAAGGTATAGAAAGGGTTGTTACCTGCCTTAAGTTAGTTCAATGAGTCAGTGGTAAAGTGGTGAATAATATTAAGAACTCCTCCTGACTCTCAGACCTGTGGTCTAACCACTAAACAATACAGTATCCTTGTAATGCATAATCTAACCACTTACTCATTTTATACCAAGTATAAATACAGGCTCTGAATAGATCACTAATAAAACACTTTCATAATCTCAGTAGTCTATTCTTACACATATATTGGAGTTTTACAAATATTAATATGATTTTTAACCAGTGACAGCTAGAGGAAACTATTTATTAGGCTGAAATACTGGTTGCATTATAGTCAGGTCTATTTTTTTAATGGCCCGCATTTTAACCTGTTTTTCTTCAACCTTTGGTTATACATATGTTCAGATTACTTGAATTGATTGTGTGTCTCCTTACCTATCCTATGTTCTTTTAAAAACCACTCCATCTTATCCAAGCATTTGTGGCAATCATTTTAAATCACGTTTAAGCCAGATTTATTTCAACAGGAAAGTTGAACCTGCTCCCACTGACGCTGAATGAATCATGCCCTTGAAATGTGAAGCAATATGGTACAGCAGGCAAATTGGGACTTGGTAAGGCCTGCCTTTACTATGGTGGTGAGGCCCTGCGCAATGCACTGTATTCCAAACTGAGTTTACAATTAGCAACATTGAAGTAATAATAGACTATCTCAGTATTGTAATTAAGGCAATATACCATTTAATTTTAAGACATTTTTCAAATTAAAATTATACATACTGATAGGTATCCTCTCAGCTTTTACGTCTGGTTCAGTGTGAGAACAACATGTGAACAATTTTATAAATAAGGTTAGAATAAATGAAAGAATTTTATCCATGTTAAGAAACATTTAAATTCCTTGTAAAATGTTTAGAATATCTTCAGGTTCTATATAGTAGCTATTATTTGGACAAATACTGTAGTAATGTTTGGTGGAAGCCAGTGTGCTCAGAACTCTGCACTGTTATCTGGCTTCAAAATTTCCATAAACGGGACTCATCTGATTATGCTGGAAAAGTTTCTTTAAATCTCCTAGAAACAAGCAGTTCTAGTAGAGGAATTTGGCTTAAAGAATGAAGTGAGAGAGATGTTTAAATTTCTCCAGGACAAATTGCCTCTCTCTCCCCAGTCCTCTTGTGTGGCAAACACATGGTTGGAGAAACAAAACTTTGGTTAGAAACTAGTGGACGAAGGACAACACTTGAGGTAGGATTAATAACTTGCCAATGTTATCTTCACTCCTTTTCTGTCATAAGGTACAGCTGACAATTTTGTTACAGAAATTATCATATAACATACTTAAGCCATCAGTTCCCAATGTAATATTGGCCTACCTTACAGGGTAGCTGGGTTGAATAAATGAGATAAGCACACACTAGTTTTATAAGCACTGTCAATACAGTCAGAAGAGTGACAAAATATTCTTTAATGTCAATAGAAATAAAGTATTGCATATTTTCCCATTATATTCTATTCAATGTTAGAAAAAATGCCACTTTTAACCATATCTGTCTGAGCAAGCAGAGATCAAATATAAAAATACCTACATTTTATGCAAGAATGTTATCTCTTTTCACTGTTGTGAATTTTAGGCTTCAGTTCCAATTCACAAACCTTGGAGTTCTTCCATAAACTTTGATGACTTTGCCTGAGTCAATATGAGTGGGTAACAGGTGAAAAACCCTTAGGAGTGAAGTTGTAGATGCAGACTAAGTTAAATGAGAATGTACAGTACATTTTATAACACTATAAAAACAGCGCAGCAACAAGTTCTTAAATTAGGGTTAGAGATCCCACCTGATGAATGATGACACTGTACTGTTAATTAAAATTAAATATGCATATTTTGTTCTGTCTACTGATTGCTTTAGATATACAAAATCACAATTTACTATTACATTTTGTAGATATTACAGAGTTAAAACATCCTTATGTGCCATACAGAATTTAAAGGTGGACAGTTGGCATTTTGATTCTAACATACTGAAACTAGTTTTAGTATTAGAGTGAGAAAATCAAAGCTTTATATCCAATAGAGTAGAATTAATGCAAATGGTTGGTATTCAATCTGATGGGATTATGAATTTAGGTCTTAATTTAGTCACTCTTACATGAGGTTTCATTTTGGGAATTGCTGAGAACAAAGATGCTCTCAGTAAGATATTGTTATATCAACTGTGTTTTCTGCATAGAAAAACTGTGTGGGCACTAAGACTCTAACAGTTTCAATCAAGCAGCATCTTTTGCATTTAACTTAGACTTTTAGGGGTCATTTTATTGTTTGATACTTAATGTACCTATCTACTTAGAAGAAATCTCCACTGAATTCAGTGGTACTTACTTCCAGGTAAGTGGGAATAATATTATAGCCTTAGTTGTAGCTTGAAACAAGAAATTATGTGAACAGGGGAAGTTGCTTTTAAATGTTGCTTTGAAAAGTAAGGGATTTTGTATGCCAGTGCCTATTCATCCAACATGGTGAAGGCGTTCATGTCCATTTGGTATATATTAATAAGAAACTTAACTGCAGGTTAACATATTGTTCGTTTTCAACACTATCACGTTGCACTCATATAAAGCACATTTTAATTTCTTGATCAGTAATCAAATGGAAGTTTCTTTTGGCAAATTAAAACAGGAGGGATTTTCCAGCAGAAGAAAGGATATGGGAATATGATGCCACCTTTTGGTGGAAAAAGTAAACACACCTATTCCAAAGAAAAGACTCTTCTGATGTGCAATTACACTTCAAATTGCAGTAATGGCAAAGTACTTATGCCTAATTCATTATATTTTAAATAATTAAGAGGAAAATCATTGCAAATAAATATTTGCAAGGGAAAAGATGACTTAGATGTACTTGAAGAATAATCTTTAATGACAGCTAGTAAGCCTTGCCATTATATCATGCTATTACTGGGTAGACACAATGATCAAAAAATCAGCAGCAAAATTATAACTATCATGTTATAGTTGATCTACCCAAAATAAAATGGATTAGTTATAAATGTATGTGTCATAGAATAGAGTCAGCTAGTTTCATCAAAGATAAAGGATAGAGTCAGGTAGCTTTAATTCTCCCCTTTACTTCATTCTTCATTTCCTACTGGAAAAAGGGACAGGAAAGAATAAAGAGCAAAATTATTAGAGGA